GGGGGGGGGGGGGGTTGGGGTTATTACCCAAACTCTCCCCTGTCAAAAGTATAATGGCCTATTCCTAATATATTTATATCATTTTTGAGATTTTTTATTTTAACTGGTGTAGTTTTTTTGTTTTGAATTCCTTTATTTCAATATCAGTTGAGTTCAGTAGTTTCCCCATAATTGCCAATCTATGTGTTGCAGTTGATGTGTATCATTGTAATCTGGTGATTTGGAAAATCAGTTTAAATTCAAAATTAAATTAAAACAACAATGTTGCTGTTTAATTATAATATTATAAGTTACAAATGCAATGATACTTTAACTGCATCATGATCTGAATAGTAAACACTAATTACAGCATTGTGGATGATATCAAATGCTGTTGGTTTCATGTAAATATGGTCTAACAATGTTCCTGCAGAAATAAATGTAGGAGTCTGTACAATTTGTACATAGTTTAGAGAGTGCATTAAGCATTCAAGTGGCCTTATGTCTTTCTCATTGAAGTAATTTATGTTGAAGTCGCCAAGTATGATGTCAATAGCATCACTGCTAAGTAGATATTCAATAGAGTTTATAAATTGTGACACATTAGAGCTGTTTTGTCTATATAACAGAAGAAAGGACAGCTGTCGCTGGATAGAAGTATTAATAGTAGCAACAAATTTCACTGCATTTACTGAAGGGAAATATTCTTGTTGTGTAATTTGAATGTTAGTTTTGGTACAGAGTGCTAAACTTGAGTATTTGTCAGAAATATGATCTTGTCTATACATTGTAAAGGGATTTAAGTCATTTCTAATATTGTGGTCAGTGTCTTGAGGAAGAAGTTGTGTTTCTGTTAGAGCTATAATATCACTACTGAAAATATTTGAATCAAACTTAATGTCAATACTGTGTTTTCTAAGAGAACGTATATTTAGAAGAGATAAAGTTAGAATTGAGTTATTTTCCTGAACATTTTGGATTGGTTCACTTGTTTGCTGCATACTTATTGATGAATTATTTTGCAATCTTTCATATTCATCATGGACTCTAGAGTCTGCTCTTACATTTTTACTATCTATTTGTCCCAGAATGTAAAGTCCTTGTAAGGAAGTTGAACGACTTAATGCAACATACACCTGTCCATAGTTAAAAATTCTTTGTCTATTCAAGTTGAAACTGATAACAACTTTATTAAGTGTCAAACCTTGAACTTTGTGCACAGTGCATGCCCATGCTAGTGTGATAGGAAACTGTATTCTTTGTATTTCAGGAGAGGATGGTTTACCCGGCCTGACTTTGATTCTAGTCAGCATTGGTTCAATAGGTACTGCTCTGTTTTCTCTGGCAAACAGGTTTCCACATTTTTGTATTGAAATGTTTCCAGCTTTATTGTCATCAAATTTTACAAAGATAACTGTTGGTTTTTGATTCCTTTGATTAACATTAATTTTTACAACAGTTCCTATCTGACCATTTATAAGTCTATCTGTAATATCGATGTTAGTTGTAAGCATTACTCTTGCACCTTCTTTAATGTGGATTTCAAAATCAAGTCCACCTGTTTCAGATCTCCCTCTAGATAACACCCTGTCAATATCTTGTTTTGTGACATTAGGTGGATACTGATCTACAGCTGTGAGTACAAACAAAGGTGCAGAAATTTGGTCTAGTTGTTTGTTGTTGTGTTCAGAAACAGGGTTATTTTCAGCCCAAATGTGAAGTGCGTCTGAAGGGTAATTATCATCTGATGGACTAACTGATCTTGAATTAATGCACTTGATATCTTCTTCAGTGTGAGAACCAGTCCTTATTCTGTTTAATAGCTCAGTGAATGGCTGATCATCTTTTTGCCTCATAATTTCAGTTAGTTCTATCATTGTGAAAACTTGCCATGGGTGATACAGATTGTGAGTATCATTTTTGTAGTTTTGAAAAACCAGTTTTCTACGTATAGGTGGCAGTTGATACAGATCACCTACAGCAATGATACTTATGCCAGCAAACAACTGCAAGTTAGCCGTACCGAAAACTTGTTTTAATCTTTGATGTACATGAAGCAAGGTAATGTTTGCAACCATAGAAATTTCATCTATTATTAGAAGCTTTAGTTCTGAAAATGTCAGTCTCATTTGAGTCTTCTTTTGGTCTGACATTGCAGGTAGATTGTCGCTTGTATCCTTAGGAATTGCCAAACCTGTATTTATTGTTGTACCATTGATATTAATAGCAGATACTCCTGTTGGAGCCATTAAAAGTACTGTTGGTAGTTCAGGGTTCATACAAGCATGTCTAAAAGTTTTAGCTGCAGTGTGATATATTGTTTTAATCAAGTGACTTTTTCCAGCACCTGCACCACCAGTTATAAAGAGATATATTGGTTTAACTTTGTCAGGCTTTAGACTGTTCATATTTTTTATTTTACTTCTGCACCAAGACAGAACTGTGTCATATGCATAACACTGTGTTTTGTTTAAGGATCTCACAGACTGACGCAGAAAGTCATCAGACACATCTGCTGGTTGGTTCTGTACTGTTATTGTTGGAAGTGTACTTTGGTGATGAGATTCAGTTCCTGATGAAAGATGTGAAGGGTGTTGTTCATTGAATGATTCTTCTGGAATGGAGTCATCTGGCATGTCTGCATGTAAATCTGCATTTTCTTGATCATTCATAGAATCATATGATTGTATGATATTACCCTGATTGTTCCTCAGTGATTCAAGTGCTTCTGAAACAGCATCAGCATTAGGTTCAAATATTGCTCTATTGGATTCTACTACAGATTGTACTGCAGGTTCATAGAATTTTGATGCATATGTTTGTTCTTTGCCAAGCAAACTTTTCTCCTCTCTCCATGGAAAATAGAGCATGAGTAAGTGATGGAAATAGTTTTCAGGCTCTTTTATTTTACTTGGTGCATGATATCTTACAACTGCCCTAGTTTTCCTACATTTCATAAGTTCATTGGTATTCATCAACCTGATTTGCTTTGGGAGCATTGGATTAGTGTTCATAGTTTCACTTTGAGATTCAATTATATTGTCTGTGAGAACATCTGGCTGGGCATCAGCTGTCTCGAAACATTCATTTTTGTAATCCTTATAATAGTGTGCAGCAAATTCTGCTAAACATAGGTTATCAACAGTAGGAATACAGTTTGGTCTGATCATGTAACGCTCAATTATGTTGGACTTGTAGATATCTGTACTGTCATTGTCTAATGCATCAAGTTCCTGTTGGGTTTTTGCAACGCGTACTCTTTTTTCTGGTAGATCAGTACTAACAAAAAGTGTTTTGGGGAATATTTTTCTCAACCAAAGTTCTGGCATACATCTGTATACACATTCTTGTGAACTCACTTCTCTAGAAGAGAGGAAAGCAGCACCTATTTTTCTCAAGCCATCTTTAACATTTAAATTAGCAGTTTTGGCCTCTTTTGCTGCATTCATGATTGCTTGGGAACATTCAGTTTCATCCTTTGTGAAGTATGAGCAGACATATGTTACACACTTGTAGTGATCAAAAACAGGCTGTAGGTCAACATTTGCTGCAAATCCCTTAATACCAGCAACAAAGTAGTTGTTAATAAAACAGCTGTTTACTGGCTGCTTGAGATGCAGTTCATAATGAGAATCAGGTGATATTGACAAAGCCCAGTAATACTGCTCCTCAGAAATACCTAAAGAACTAAAAATGTCTGCTTCGGTTAATTTTGAGTCATAATCTGGTTTATTGGGGTTTAGAGCGTTATCTATTTTTTCTTTGACTAAATGAAGAATTTCCTTTCGTCTGGTAAGAGTGTTACTTTTGACCTCTTCAGGTATATTGTCAGAAAGGGGTTCTGCTACTATTGTTCTCTTTGTAAAAAGCTGACCAAAATTAAATCTGCAAGGAACATTTTTGTATTTTCGACATGTTTTAGAGTGGTTGTGGTTTTGGTATGTTTGGACCAATTCATGTAATTGAGGGTCTGTTTCTCTGTTTGGAATGCATGCCTGGACATGGTTATCAATAAATTCTATGTACGCTTGTTTGTTTTCATGTGTCAGTTTTGGACAATCTGAGGTCCACATCAATGCATGTAAGTGAGGAGAACCTCTCATTTGAAATTCAATACGAAGAGCATAATGAACTATTTTACCAATTGGGTTTGCAGTGGTGAGAAGAACCTCTGTGAAAAATGTTTCTACCTTATACTGGAAATGCTTAGCAACAACAACAGGATTAAGATTAAGCATAGAACATCTATCATTATAAGACAAGGCTTCAACTTGTTCATTGGTTAAATTCATGCCCTTTGTTCTAGCAATAATCTGAAAAAGCTCAGGCCATCGAAGGTCTGCACAAGATAATGTCATAAACCATGTTGGAATACCAAGCTGCTTTACCATGGCTACTACTTCATACATGAATTTTTGCCAGTAGGGTGGTGTGCCTGGAATTTGTCTTAAAAATAAATAAGCCTGATCTTGACAAATAAGATTTTGCAAACTTTGTGCATTTGATCTTAAATGGGATGCTGTAAGAGACTGTCCATGAACTTTTGTTAAAGCAATATTTATACTATCTGAAATTTTCTTCTGTTCTATTATGAACTGTGCAAAGAATAGATATTCTGGATTTGTTGCAAATCTGCCACTATAATGTAAAAGTCTTGCATTAAAGTACTTTACTGGTGACAATTTAACCTCTCTTTCTACTTGATAGCCAAATCTTCCTTTAGGAAACAATACTGGAAATGCTAGCTCTTCACATTGTTTGTCTGTCATCAAGGATACAGGATGTTTATTTTCACCAGGTGCAATATTGTAGACTTCATTTCCTGATGAATTATTACCATCTAGCTCTACAGTTACAGGATAATCTGGTATAACAGACTGTAGGCATGTTTCATTAATTGGTGCTCTAAATTCATTCAAGGGGTCATCTTTTTCTTCTTCATTGTCATCTGCAGGTTGTATTGTATCTTGTTCACAATAGTTATGATTTGAAGAGTGTACTTCATGGTCAGTGTCTTGTTCACAAGAGTTATGATTTGAAGAATGCACTTCATGGTCAGTACATGTACCTGAACTTATTTCACAGTCTTGGAATCCTGTTAGACTTGGGTCAATATTTTCAATACAAGTTACTGTGTTACTGTACAATGGATTATTCATCCTGAGCCACGTAAGGGCATTGACAATAAACTCAGGTCGTACTGCTTGAAAGTAGACATGACCTCTGAACTGCAGTTTTCTTTTAAGTTTCAACATAATTATGCCTGATCTTTCAGGAGGACGTGGTAAAATGTTGCATGTCTTGTCACAATCAACAGGCACATTACAAATAGCCCCTTTAATTTTTCGTTGTTGGCCTTTGGGCATTACTACTATTTTCTCGAATACAATGCGCTGTGCTACAAGGATCTGTTCAAGCTTTTCTAGAGATTCAAGTTCTGTAGGGATTTCATCAACAAGTAGTTTATTGTACACAGCTTGACACGGAACTTTTCCTTTTGAAACCTTCAAGTCACATGTTTTACAAATGTATTCATTGTTATCAAATGATTTCTTATTTGTGAAAAGAAAGCGAGTATTATATTTAGCTTCCTTAAGTTGAATAACTGATTTTCTATAAAGTAGTCTATTGCACACAGAACATGTGTAGTATGGACCTTCCATAATCTTCTTATGGAAAATTGAAATAAAATGACTCAAGTCATATTGTGAGGTTTTATTCGGATCTTTTGGAACTTTTTTGGATCTTTTATTGTGAGGTTTTGTTTGGTTATTTGGATCTGATGTTTTGTTTTCTTTCCTCTTATGACAAAATACATTTTTGTAATATAAAGCTTTTTGTTCTGTGCGGACTTTTTTCTTAGCAGGTTCAATTTGAGCATAGTTCTGTTTGCGTTTGTTTGCAGCTAATACTTTCTGTGAAGTTGACATATGCTTTTTCCTAATTCTTTGCCTTCCAGTATTAGTTAATTGGGATGTACACAATAAAAATTGAATACAGTACTCTACTTCGTGACAGTTGAATTTGTTTGTTATAATATTGCCCAATGTTTGAATAAGGGAATCTACATCATTGTCTTCAAATAATTGAAGTCCTTGATTTTCATGGAATTCCATTACAAAATATTTTGTCTTCTTTGTTTTAGTGGTACCACGGCCAGAATGGCAAAAAACACAACATACACAGTAACCAGAGATCCATAGAAGAAATCCAGTATTCATGTTTTTGTTTTCTAAAATTAACCTCTGAAGGACTAGTTTGGTGGACAAAGAACCACATGAAAGGATTCCTTGGTGTTTTGAACTATATTCCACATCTACATCAGCGTCATAGATCTTAAGCCTACTTGGTAACTCATTAATTGTGGGCTGGTTACTGATGTCAAGGTTTTCTTTGTAAAATATATTTCCATGTTCAACAACAGCTTCTAATGTAACTGACTTCCAATTACTACATGGTTTGATAATTGAAAAACAGATACAATAAAAACATATGGCACAGTTCTATTTTGCATTAGTTTCCATAGTAACATCTGCATTAACTGCAGCTGTTTGACAGGTCACATTTTGATCACTGGATGAGAATGGCTCATTATCATTATGAACAACTTCATTTTCTGATACAGAAATGTGTAAACCTTTAAG